ATCTTGAAAACTTAATCTGCATTGCACCGTAAGATTAAACGTATATTGTTTATACTGAATGGTTTATTTTTATATATATTTATATTTCGTTGCTTCCGTTTACCGTACTATACAATTTTCGAAATACATGGCAACTTTCTTCTGTGTATATGGAGCATGATTGAAAATAAACAAAGTTCCACTGTGTCGAATGTTTGAGCGTCGAAAATGCAAATTGAGTACGTGCTTTCTGCGTTACGAATACAAGAATAATTACATTTACGTAATTAAGAGACTAAAAGCTATCCCTAGAAACATAGCAACGCGAATATTTTCTTAACATCATGCAACAATCTTCTCAACAATTTTTTCATCGATCTTCTATCAATAACCCGTTTCTTTAACAACGTTTGCAGAAGAATAATTTGCATAACAAACACAGTTGCGACACCATCCTTATGTCTTGTAATACTTCTCGAAGTTGCTCGTTATTCTACGCAAGAGAAACAAACGCGTGAAGAAATGGCATACCGCGAGAAGATACAAGAAATGGTGCAAAAGCTGCGTAACAAGGACACGATAAAGTCTGCGATCTTTAAACGTTTGATGGGTATCTTATATAATGTACACGAATAGTGTTTTGCATGGTTCGTAGAAAAATAAAAATTCTCGCGCTTTCTACAGAATCCCTCGTCATAAGAATTATATACAGAAAGAAGCGGAAGTGTGCGTAAAACCGAAGAAAAGTGCACACATTTCGCCAAAGTTTTGCTCGAAACTTCGTAATCAATCGTTTACGCTGGCATGTGTCTAATTACGATCAACAAGGTAGAGAAATAAATTCGTTCCGTGATCGAAATCGATACGATGCCTTGTCGTTTCGACGTATACGTCGGCTTTGGTTTTTCCAAAACTCTTCGAAGCATGAAGAAATACTATACGGTCACGCGGAGGAGATCGTGAGATCGTGACAAGCTTGTGACGGAAACGAATAGAATAGCTGACAATTGGAGAGCAGCCCGAGTCAATGGCGTGCGTCACAAACGTAATCGACGTGATTGTAGGCACCCCACGGTCTTAGAAACACGTCAGAGGAGCCTTTTTCCAAAGATCGTTCACTGCTCCCTGCAAAGTTCCGTCGAAGAATCTCACGGACTACGTACACGCATCAGTCGTGAGAGGAAATCGTCAACAAGAGGACGCGAACGCGTCAAAACAGATTTTAATATACAATATCACGTATGACTTTTGATATGTCGGAAATACGTCGAAAAAAAGCGACTTTTTAACGATCGATGTTCTTCAAGAATTTTCTACGCAACGATACTAAAGTGTCTTACATCGAGTATCGTGGAATTCTCTTTCCAATTAGATATTTTAGAACCTTGAACTCTGCTAGTTTGGGAAACTTTTAAGTTGAAGATAAGTAAAAAATTACGAATGTATTTCCTTAAATTCGTATTAATATTATATCGCGACTAAGAAGGCTCGAAGTAAAATGTCAATACGTATTGCAATTACGTAAATATCATACTCCTTTCATCCAAACCAGCATTCCAAAAAATTTATCTATATTCTTTACTAGTATGCCAAAATATCCGTTACGAAGACCGCTAACTTTCTCCCTTTGCCTTTTAAAGAACAAATTAACGCTGACGAGCGTTCCATCTAATAGTCATCAAGTAGTTAGCCAACCTACCAACCACTAGATACATACTTGAATTTCGTCAAGATTTCCTATGAAACAGGAAACGAAAGAACCATCGAAGAAACGTTGTCAATTCGTCGACACATCGAATTCGGAAATACAAATAGTCGTACAAACGCGCGACGTGAATCGTCTTCGTCAGCTTAGATAGACGGATCGTGAGGGACGCGTCGAGGGATCGTCTGGTATGATGGGAACGCGACCGAACGTGTTCTTTGTTGACGAATGTTCGCAATTGTACGTGTTCTCTTGTCTGATGTCGTTTGCTTTTGATTTTCCGCTAGGCGAGCAGCAACTCACCGCGGTGATGACGTTGCTGTTGCTGTGGTTGTTGTTGATGGTGAAGCTGACGATGATGTTGATGATGGTGATGGTGATAATTGAGTGTGGAGGACGGTGATGGACCAAGACTATCGCCGCCACCTAGCTGTTGTTCATATTGTTGATGCTGCTGGTATTGACCATCGTCGTGTGTTGGTGTCAAATCCCAGAAAAGGCCGGAAATCGCGGAATCGACGCAGCTGCATGACTCGGTGGCTGTGACGTTGCATCCGGGACAGCAGTCGGTTTCCGTGGCCAAACTCATCGGTGTTTCCGGCGATTCCGCGGGTCTCATGCCAACGAACGAGCTCTCCATCCAACACAGCTTCACGCTCCCTTCGAGGAGAAGTTTCATTTCATTAGATGCGGCATGAAGAAGCCAACGGGGCGAGCGCGGTGTGTGTTCTTTTGGGTAGCTTCTTTTACGATCGATCCGCGATTCCTTTCTGGGAAAACGACTACGGGTAACACAGCAAAACATAGTAACGGCATAGAACTCTACGGACGTAGCAATTCGTAACAATTCGTAGCAATTCGTAGTTATCTTCTGCAACCGTAACATTATGACTTTTTGTTCGGTTTAAAAAAGAATTGTGTATTTCCGACTTATTTTATTTTTGTATAAACTGGTTATATACTAATAACACACGAAGTTAGCAGTTCGGCAGTTCGAGTATTGTTCTTAAACACGACACAAATCTCTGATTAGATCGTGTTAGTCAAGCTCTAACACGGAAGTATTAATCACAACGCAAATCAAGCTGAGCGGATCGGCACACACATATACGTGATCGACAAACCATGTTATGATAGTATGTAGTTAGTGTAACATCGTGGTAAGACGTGAAGGTTTTCGGGGATGTCGCTCTGAGAATTGGACGTCGCTGATGCTTTTCGAGGCGTGTCACGCATTGGACTTTATACACCGAGTTATACGCAACAGGATGAGTAACGTGAACGTAACACGACCAAGATATCGTGTGCATTATAAAAGTATACTAAGTAGTAACAGCTGACCACGTGCGCGTTATCTTCGCACTTCGTTCCCTGTTCACGATGTTTGTTTTAATTTTGTCCTAAGGTCAGACAGAGTAGCGGCTAAGTTCGCTAGCACCGACAAGCGTATATGGAGACAGAGGGGTGTGACTTAAACTTCAGGGTGATCTATTTTCGTAGCAGGACGGCCACGTCGGTACAAAGCTGTCGAAATAGCAACCGACGGTCGGTCGCCTATGTGTATGCATACTTTCGTCGAGACTGTCGCGATTAAAGATGAGGGCAGACCGAGGGAACGGATGACACACGCGGTGGTCGTCGGATGGAAGTCGAGAAATAGCCGAGCAGACGTTCCATTCCCGCCCCCCTCCCCCGATTGTACCATCGTTTTTTTCCTCCCTCGCCACGATTCGACCTTGCTTCACGAATTCGCGCGCTAGAAATACAATTCGGTGTCAAGGCTGTCGGTGAACACCATTACGGGAATTTTCGTGGCAATCGTCTTGCTGCTTCGTTGGTTCGCTGATGTCGATCATACGGCAGATCTTCCACTGAGAAGGATTCTTTATGTCGTATCTCGTATGTATCTACGGTATCATCTCGCGAATACCATGAAGAATAATTCCGTTACTAAAATTGATTTTGTGTTTTCTCTCTCTCCCTTTCTCTCTTTCTCTCTCCTTTTACAACTCAGAGTCAGTGTTGTAACTACGAAGACAAAAGTAGTCGTAGGAGATGAGTGGGATGTCTTGGAATACGAGATGTGACAAAGTTCCAAGGCTAACTCTGTTTTCCTCAAAGTTGCAAGAATAAGACAGTATAGCTCGATCTTCCCCTCACCAGCATGCGAAATACAAAGATTGTACATCGAAGCCAAGAATTCCAAAACAGCATCAGTTCACTTCTCGACACTACATGAGTCATTCGTATGACGTTTACCGGATCATTTAGTCTCATCCAAGACTACTCCTAAAGTGGACGTAAATTCACGGGAACCGTCCTTCGAAAATAAAGATTAGCTGCCACCTTTACATTACTTAAATCTCAAAGGAACTACATACATAGAAGGCGATGACCTGATATTCGCATAAAATTTATATACGTGTCATTTTCGAAATATTACTGTCACACCTCGTACATTTGTAAAATCGTAAGACCGAATTTTTTGTTCCATTGTGATTAATTTTCACGACTGCTCGAAAAGTCTGTGAGATACAGTGGACCGCTTGGTCGAAGAGAAATCTACGCTGTGCAACACGAGGAAAGCGTTTATATACATGTATCTACAGAGTTGGAGTCATTAGAGGAAGAAAGAAGGAGGTTTTTTCTTCAACAGGACAAGAACGAGTGGATTCTCGCATGTTAACGTTAGTAGGAACACCGCGTCGTGACACCTTGAAAATATCCGGACGATGTTGCGGGCACGTGAACCAACGCAGCATTCGCAGAATGAATGAGTCTGCGCGCGTGTGAAGAGGGTACGTTACAGTTTTTAGCCATCAAAGTTTTTGTTGAATGACCGCGTTTTTGAAAGCAATTTTCGTTAGTAAACACGAAACAACCAAGAGAACGAACAAAGACAAAAGAGACAGCCAAGAGAGTTGCTGGTAGTGCTTTGAATTAGCATATAAGAGACACGTCGAATATTATACATATATATTATATATTATATATATGTGTGTGTGTGTGTGTGTGTGTGTGTGAGCAGTAACAACGAGCGAAAGAGCAAAATTTATTTCACGACATTCCGGTCGGGAGTTAGGTAACAATACAGTGACAAGACGTGTAAGAACAGTAACAAGAGAAACCCAGAGACAGACGAAAGAAGAGAGGCGTCTAGGTCACAGAGTAAAGATGCAGAGACAAAGAGAAGAAATTCACATCAACAGATCAGGAAAACTCAAAATTACCTTTGTCGTAGAGAGTAAAAGTAGTAATGGTGTAGTGGTGGTGGTGGTAGGATGGTTTTTTTTGGCAGGGGTTGTTTAGTGCTCACCTCTGGGGCTGGTCGACCTTGCTCCGCCCCTGTCGTCCCAGTCTTCAGGTCGAGGTCGAGGCGACAGCCTGCCACCTCCACCAACCTCCTGACCGCTTTGCACGTAGTGCACAATGGCCGAGGTTACCTCCTTTATCGAGTTCCTTACCTCTAGCTGCTGATTCGTTGTCTGCTGCTGTTGTTGTTGCTGCTGCCAACAAAAATTTCGCTTTTATTACTCTATACCTTTTTCCTATGTTTTTCCATTCTGAAGTTTAATCGAAATATATCACTTAATAACCAGTTAATATTGAATTATCGAATCATGTTATCATCAATTAAGTAACTACGATAATAACTCGATATATTTGAAGAGCTATCTTTCGATAGCATTATTCAATGCTGTGTTCGCTTTTCGTTGTAAAACTCAACTTCATATTAGCGAAATTTTCATTTAGAGTTTTTTAATCTCACCGAATTGTCAATGCTAGAAAATAGAGACACAAAATACCTTGTACAAAGCGTTGCTAAAAATAAAGAATGTCGCATATCGACATATCTTTGTCAATAAATGCAAATAGCTGGAAGAACAAATTTAATAAAACTCTAAACGCGCACATTGTTCTAATTTCCAATAAATTTCCAAGATTATTTTCAACAGATTTTAACGTTCGTGAGAAAAAACATTTTCGCGGAAAAACTATTTTTTGGTAACGAAAAGCTGATTAAAAGTTTGAAAAGTAGGACAATGTTCGCGGCGTGGTTCGACCTTGGGGCGGAGGGGTTGTCTGTGATTCGGATAACAGTCAATTTGTACTCGAGTTGTAAAGGTCACGAGACGTCAGAATGTGGATTTCTGCCAAAATTTCTAATTATAGAGAAATCATTGCATTTGCGCGCTGTCTGCACAAATTAAAAATAAATTGGACAAAGGAAAAGCGAGATGGACGTAGGCGAGGTAGGGGTCACTCACGGTTCGAGGTTAAATGTCGCGGATTTGGGAACGATTATTCGAACGAGGAAATTCGACTAATCATCTCCGACATATTTACATCGTAAATGCAGATTTACTTCTGTTATAAATGATGAAAATATCAGTAGTATGATTATTTTGGATCTGACAACAATTTCAGAAAATTATAAATACGATAACATTAACGTCAAATATTCGCAAATAGTTACTATCATATTTTTAAAGTAGAAAGAGAATAGTTTGATCTATTACATATATGGTAATGAAAATATTTTATTAGAAAATATTACCTAAATAAGATATATTTTAAATGTATCAAATAGTAATTGTAATTTTTTAAAAGTAAAGCTGGAAAGCTGCTATGAAACGTTAAAGTTGCAATGTTAAAGAAACATGGGCGACAATGGTGTAACATGAGACTTTCAAGGTTTTTTTAATACGAACCTTGTTTGCTGCTTGCAACTGGGGAAGAATACCCTGAGCAAGACGTTCTGCCGGTGTTCGCGGGTTCGTTAGCCGTTCTTGAGAACGCCAGCCCAAGTATGGCTGTCGATGATTGAAAGACGACCTTGTTGAACTCGCTGGCGAACTTCCGGCACTGTTTAGCAGGCTGGTACTCCATCTTGAGAATACAGGTGGCGTGGGACTTGGACTAAGAAGGGCACCTAAACAAATTTATCGGAACGTATTAACACATAGTCGCAACATCTTGCATAGATTTCCTTATTCTACTTTTCTGTCAAAATATGGCTGATAAAATTTGAGACACCTTGTGCAACGTTCCCAAACTTCCTGATCAGATCCTGTAAAACAATTCGTATATTCGATTCTTAGAACTGAACAGTTGTCAACAAATACAAATAAATATAGACGTAATTATTATGGTAATACCCCGATACAGTGTTGGCGTCTTGACTCGTTTTACAAGCGAGTTTGTTACTTGATCCGGATTTGAAATGGATTATGTTGGAAGACTTTGATCGATGGTTTTGCACGTTGAATAATACGTTGCCCGGGAACTTTTCAGCGACAGAATAAAAGCTTGACAGCTGTCTTACATTGACGTTACCAACAAGCTGCTACGAAGGTATTTGAGCTCGATGTTATGGGAGTGAAACACGTTTTGTATATGCTCCCAGGGATAGACGTAGCAATTCCATTCCTTTGTTCTTGGTGTCAATTAGTAGAGAGACTTTAGAAAAAACTTGAAGTAGTCGGTAAATATTACTGGGTAAAAATAATATTGCAAATTTGTTTCTTCGAATGAATGTAGCCTCTCATATCGCAAAAATAGGGTTAAGAATAACGTTAAGATATGGCAATTCTATTTTTAAGCTTCTAGAAACATCAAACTAATTCTGTAAAAACTAAACTCTTTTTAAAATCTAAACTTTAACTTTCACAATGAACAAGTTATGCGAGAATTTAAAAAATTTATCTCAAATTATTTAGGAAGATTTATATCATCAGGTCTGTATTTAAAAAAAAACATAATAAAAAAAGAATTTCGTTTGTCAATTACGAGTTTTCTTAAGATCAGAAGGAACAACGAAAATCAATACGAAAGATACAATAACAATCGGAAGAAGAAGGGAAGAAGAGGGGAAGATTAATAAAATTTAGAATCTTTTAAAAAACTACAAAAGATAATCTTCCATAAATCTGTTAAAATCAAAACTGCCGAGAGCATGGTGAATCGTGGTCAGACGTCATTTAAAAAAAGTGTCTCAACGAACTTTGCCCTTTTCAGACTACCAACCGAGCATCAGATCCGCGCCAGCAGCTCATGTTGGCACCAGCCCTTTAAATCTGGTAATTAGAGCCCTCCCTTAACAAATCGCATTCTCTCGTTAGAAACGTCCTTGAACGTTTCCCAGCCACCCTGCGAAAGAAGGGATCTGCGCTGCTATTGCAGTCAGCCAACAACGTGGTCGGGATAGACCTCGACTTTATCGTTAGCAGACGACTACCCGGCAAGGCCGAATTAATCGAGTTAACCTACCCTGCTAAATTTATTAGCCACTTCCTATTAGCAGTTACTCACCGTAGCCAGAGAATATCCGCGAGACTATGTCGCTTGAGAAGCGAGAGAGATGCAGACACGAGGATAAATGAAATTGGCCGATACTCGGCTCTCGTTACGTGCTAATTTCGGACGTTGCTCGCCTTTTCATTCGAAGAAGAGTTCGATTTGCTCGGTATTGCGCCGTTTCATTGCGAATCGTTCCCAATGGGCAGCTATTGTGCCCTCTTTTTCTTTCGCTCATAACATTTCGAAGAACTTGATATCAACTTTTGGCTACTTTCCGTTCGTATTAAACTGTTTTCCAACTGCAGTGAGGAGATCGGGGAGAAGTTTTTGTCTTAGGGGCAAATAAAGTGTGAAGCGAGAAAGCAGAAAGAATTAAATTAAAGATAGGAAAGGAAATTAAGAAAAAAAGATATGTAATATTTGGTAAGCACGTATTCACGAATTCCTTTATACTAACATAAAGCATCGTAAAGAACTGCATTAAAATTTGTGGTATTCCAGATATAATAAATACTACGTTTAATATTCTTTGGTTTCTTTTTATAGCAAAAGAAATTGTATATCTCAAGGAAGATTGTGAGAAATTATATTTGTTATGTCTAAAGCGTTAAGAGAATCTTCTTCAGGAGATCCTTATACCAGTCAATGTTATATAATTTCAAAGCAAGAGCCATTAAACTCTCTCGCAAAAAAGAGCTTTTACGGAGTAATATCTTTAGAAGTCTGCATTCACTTCTGAATAATCGTGAATAAATATTCAAAAGATGTTGCATAAAGTAATATTGAGCTCTGTGATATATAATCTTAAAGCTTTGTGCTTTAATGTTTGTTCACGGCATTTGAGGACTCGTACTCGAGTGTTTGTTCATTTATTTTTCTATAATCCTCAGAAATATATTAAATAAAAACGAACAAACTCAGGAACAAGAAAGATTAATATAAAAAGATCATTAAGGGGATGCTTACCTGTAGTCGGCTGTCTATTGGAAGACGATGAAAGGGACGAGAGGGAAGTGGTTTTCGAGCCCAATGCACGCCATCCTCCGTGTTGCGACGCGTCGGAGTGCCTCTTTAAGCGGAAACCATCGCGAGCCGCGGGAGAATTCTTGTACCAATCCGGGACGTTCAGTCGTTGCAGAGACCTCTGCACTCTGAGTTCGTGCTCGCTGGGCACGCGTTCGCCAACTTTCTGCAACTCGTTCTCCGGCGGCTGTAAAGTAACAATTTTTTTTCATCAGTAAATTCGTGCAATTATTCCTGCTTTTTAATCTGGAGAATTTACAATTTCTTTTTATTATAAGCAGAGGGACGATTTGAGACAATTTAAAATTTGCACTGTGTTACAGATGTGGCAGCAAAAAATTACTATGAATTTTTAAAAATATACTTTTTTTACGAATTTTACGTAGATATACCGTGTAAACATACCAGCTGAAAATTTACATACAACGTTGAAATTATTCGCTCTAATTTATTCAATTATTCTTAGCAAAATACCCTATTAAACATATCCCATATATTAAACGTGAGAACCTCGCGATCCTGTTTATGACTTTCATGATACGTAATTCACGTTCGAGTAACGTAATCGTTGTTTTTCGATGAGGTCTTTTTTCTCACAATTGACTATAATGAACAAAAGCAACATGTATATATAATCTGTCTCTATTACATGCTTGAATTTCTTGCCCGTTAAATATTTTGTAATTCTATTAATATATTACTGAAAAGGTGCACGTTGTTTCGAAGTACAAAAATCATTTTAAATTCCGTGGAGCATTGCTCCATCTTCTACGCAAATTTGTAAATTATATTCAAGCTCTCCAGTAATATCTTTTGCTACAATACTTTATGTCGTAATTTAATAACAGAAGAATACTACAGAATATTACAGATATTACGTAAGACCTTACAAAACTCTTTGAAATTACATAAAGTGTAGGTGTAAAGTACTACGAATAAATATGTAACATTTCTGCTATGAATAAAGTTACCTACTTATATAATATTCTTATAGTACAATAATTTCGATAGAACTTTTGCCCTCTTTTAGATTTTAGTAAAAGAGAAGTAAATAAATGTTGAAATACATTTCATGATATTAGATTGAATATTAGATTTAGAATAGTCAAATATATATATATTTAATATTAAATAAATATAAATATATGAAACACGTAGTTTCTAAGCGTATACAACGTTAGAAATTATACAGAATTAAAGACACGAATCGATGGCCCAACACATCATGGTCAAACGACGCCAGGGAAGTAATCAAGGCCGACTGAAATATCCAATACGCACTCATTGGAAAGCACTACTCGGGAGAATAACCGTTTAAAAGCGTTTTCCAATGTCACGGAGCTTGCGTGCTAGGGCGGATGAGCGCGCGGAAAATGATCGATCAATTTTCCTGCTGGAAATGCGGGGGCGTAGCTTCGGTAGAATGAGGCAACCTCATAGGATACCTGCGTTGAAGGCCAAATGAAAGGTAGAATGAAATCGTCGATTGTGATTCCCGTGTGGGAAGCGCATGGAAGTCAAGCGATCTTAAATAAGGTCAGATGGTTCTTTGTGGTTTATGTTTTTATATAAACCCTGGAGCGAAACTGAACAATAAAATAATGTTTTCTGTATGTGACTATGTATGTTGGCATGATTGTTTCCTCGCAATTTTTAAAATACTTTGTTCGCATATAGGAACTCGAATATCTACATATAATTAATGAACAAATATCTGATTAATACAAGATAACATTTAAATCGAACTTGTTGATCATTTGTGTCTTTTGTAGAGATACTTAAAGACTTTAGATACTTGAAATATAGCTTCGCCCAGTTGCATGAAGCAGTCTGTATCATATCTGTAGAGATTAAAAGTTAACATTTCCTTCCAAAAAAGCAAGATACATATCTAAATCGTACAGACAACATAAAACTATCTCTCACTATGCTGTGGTATAAATAAATGAATAAATAAATAAATAAATTTATATGATTTGCAGTCAATAAAATTAGATACGTACAGACCTGTAATGCTGATTCTTCGATGTAATCTTTTAACATTTCTTCAGTTGTTAACGTGTCAAACAAGCTAACAATCCTTTCAAAATCGATCATGGTCTTTAACCTTAACTCGGCTGAAGCTCTCTCCAGTCATACAACGACGTTCGTACGATCGATATGACACGTGAACACGGTTGTATGTTAACTCGGCCATTAGCATTGCCAATGTCTCGTCGTATTTCAATGAATTCGTTCCGAGGGATTGAAAGGTGATCTTAACGCGCCCATTGTAGAGATTTGTATAGGGCATAGGTTGTTGCAGAAGTAAAGACCAACAAACTCTACTATTCCAAAATTTCCAATCTCCTTCTTGATTTAATGTATTATTGTGGTATATTCAATATATTTTTAATATAAGAAATATTAACATTCATCAAAATATTATTATAATGAATATGAAACTTCCAATCAAACACTTTACTTTTACAATACCCTTCCTATTTTTCGTTAACTTTAGATCCACTTTATGGTTAATTAAAAATATCGAATATCCGTCTAACTTATTTAAGGAATAATAATATAATTTTTGTTCGAGACGATACAACGTACAGAAGAAAAAGGATATATCGATGTCAATAAGGAAAAGCGTGAAAGAGACAAAGTCGTATCGAAGCAGCACGCATTCCAAGATAGCATTGTCCTGCACGCACAAGTGAAATGCATAACGACGAGCTGTGTGAGTGTTCGCGTGAAATTTCCATATGGCATACAAAGACGCTAACGGGACCTAATGCCGTTGAAAAACAAAGGATAGACAGAGGAACGCGTGGCAGGCCTACGCACGTCGTGTACTCCTTTGGTTATATTAACGTTCCAACAACGGTTTACCATATGCGTGCTCATGAGAACGGAGAGCTTGCTCGAATGGCAAAAAGTTATTTTCAGCCTGCAACTTCGTCGAACAAACTAACTGGCTGAGACTCTTTCCAGTGACGATCAACTAGGTCGTTTTTACACCATCTTTATATTTTTACGACCCAATCGTTTCCTATTAAATTCATATTGTTAAATTCGAAAGATTTTGTTTGAAAATCTTTCAAAAAGAGTAAAAATTTCCCGTCTCTTCGATGCAAGCGAAACTTCTCCGTAATTAAAGGGTTAATACAACGTATTTAACATAGATGAAAATACTAAATTAAAGACGAGGATCATAATAATTACCAATTCAAATAAGACAGAAAATTTGAAAATTCCACATAAAGATGAGAGAACGGAGCATCGTTCAAAAAAGGTCAAGGCAAGATGGAAGAGAACAGAAACCAGTATACAGAGATAGAAGGGGATTCTTTCGGCCAATGTATACCTAGTTCTTAAGGGTGACCGCGACGACCGATGAGAACGGCTTCAACCATTAACGGTCGACAGTTGCTCAATTGCAAAATGAATACCGATTATAAACCATAGTGGATATTGACGTCCATTTGCAATCGTGATCATTGCGGATGCCCAGCATGAACGCGATGAAAAACTGCATACGATCACCATATATAACGAGGGCTATGTTAAGAAAGATAGAAAGAATATATCACACCCACCTAATATTTTACAACGAAAGCCAGCGCGCTAGCTAAAGTTCTTGCACGCGATAGGACGAGACGGTAGTTGGAAACGCTTCAAAGGGAAATTTAATGCGTATGTACTTATATAGATAGCTATATGTGCCTACGTGTCAACGCGACTACATGTCCGGACGCATTAATTCTGTTACGTTCTCTGGGTCACTTTTGGTCCAATCTCTTTTCTCTATCGTTCGAATAAATTTCGTAAGTTTAAAAAGAATACGAAAAAATTTGTAATTTGTACGTATATATAACAAAATGTACGTAATTTCAAAAATGCTAAAGTTTTTCTTCAAACATTAAAAGGCTTTTGTTTGCTAAAATGAAAGCGATATTTACTTACTAGTAAAGTAAGCGAGCGATTTCGGGGCACGATGAAATGTCACAGTTTCTCGGTAACGCATCGTTCCTCGAAGCTGACGGAATGCTATTGGCAAGAAACGCGGGACACCCGCATTTCCGCGTCTGCGAGCAACGAGCAGCAGTGGTCAGTAAGGCTGAACCACGCTTTCCAAGTGCAACAGTAAGCGTTACGTAATACGCGTTGGCTCGTTTCGAATGTCAGAATATCGGGGGCTGACACGGTGACAGACAGTAATTTCAATTACTTTACGACGTACTTTGCGCTGCGCGTCTCTGTCGTGTCTTTTTCTATTCTTACGCTCCTCGGTTGGCATCCGTGTCGGCAATTGACGCAAATTAGGGGAAAGCCACGTTAAAGACAGACGCTACATCCGCCATTAGAGCGGCCAAAGACCTCGCTGATGGCTTCTGCGCCGCGGTAAGTAAGTACATGTGCATCCGCGATGCTTCGCGACGCCTGTCTTGCATTTACGCCGCTTTGCCATCTTCTCAGGGACCATAATGTGCCGGATATGTATTGCGTCTCGAGGATGCTGCTCGTCATTGTGCTCTAAATTTGCTTCACCATCCGATCGAGGCGAATCGATTGGACGCTGATATTATCGAAGCCTTTAAAGTTAGTTTCCAAGCGTGTCCGCGAAGGTGCTGGGCACATACACGACTGCTCACAAGTATTCGGATAGTTTGGTTAATTTTTTTTGGTAACGATACGTGAATGTTACGAAAATATACAACGTGCCTCATAGTTTAACCACCTAAACTTTGTCAATATATTCCATGGGTATAGTGGAGCAAAAAATATTATAGAGCGCACCTGTATCGATATTGTTATTAGGTTGATAGCATCAATTAAGGGCTAATGTCGCTCAGAGGTTGCGATAACTTTGTTCAAAGTCGATGCGACTAATTTTACGGTCCATTAATGCGAAAGTCTTTCACGTTCGAGGCACGACGTAGCGATAAAGCAAGTTCGAAGCAACACGTCAAAGGGGACGAAGCGGTTCATTTTGCGAAGCGAAATCATTTCTTAGAAGCAAAGTGGATGGTAACGAGTAAACAGCCTAATGAAGTTACAGCTCGCACCGGTGCGGCGAAAGTTCAACGAACGCTTCTTTCTCCGCTTAAACTTTTTGCGTTTACTCGCGTCTTATTCGGGCTTAAGAAGAAAGAATATATTATAGTTCGTCGGATAGATGAACGATTAGGTTACGATTAGGAATTT